AAAACATTTGTGCATGAAAAATGTGTCCCGCAATGGCAAATGCAACTATTCTAACTCTGTTACTAATAAGATGGGATCAGCCCAGAGACAATTTTTTGATAACTTTTAAACATGAATGCATCTAGTAAGCGGCACATTAAAATGTGCTGATTCATTATTTGTTAGTAAATGTCTGTTGCATTTAATATGATCAGTACAGTTTGTGGGTGTATCAAGTTTATGTTACTGTATCCTTGAAGTATTATTGCTAAATGTTAAGTCACCCACGTAGAGTTTAGGCATTGGTGCCAAACAATTTGTCTGGAGTTAGATCAGCTCAATCAAGTAAATATAATGAAATCTCAAATCAGATCAAATTTTATTTGCCACATGCGCTGAATACAACAGGTGTAGACCTTACAGTGAAATGCTTACTTACAAGCCCTTAACCAACAATGCAGTTTTTAAGTAAAAAAAATAGATAAGTAAAAAATAAAAAATAGCAAATAATTAAAGAGCAGCAGTAGAGAGAACAGTCTATGACTAGGGTGGCTGGAGTCTTTGACAATTTTTAGGGCCTTCCTCTGACACCGCCTGGTATAGAGGTCCTGGATGGCAGGAAGCTTGGCCCCAGTGATGTACTGGGCCGTACGCACTACCCTCTGTAGTGACTTGTGGTAGGAGGCCGAGTAGTTGCCATACCAGGCGGTGATACAACCAGTCAGGATGCTCTCGATGGTGCAGCTGTATAACTTTTTGAGGATCTGAGGACCCATGCCATCTAACTGCCTCTATAAGAGGGAAAATGAACCCAACTGAAAAGGAACTTCAAAAAGCCAGCATGACAAACACACACCATAATCTAATGAATCAGGTGTAGTCTAATGAATCAGGTGTAGTCTAATGAATCAGGTGTAGTCTAATGAATCAGGTGTAGTCTAACGAATCAGGTGTAGTCTAACGAATCAGGTGTAGTCTAACGAATCAGGTGTAGTCTAACGAATCAGGTGTATTTTGACTATGAATGACTGGCGCTTTGTGAAGGATCAAACAGAAATTATAATATATGCCTTATGAAATAGTTAACTAAACTCTCTGATGCTGTAATAGGTGGTTGTGCGCTCAGTTCACCAACCGTGGCCGTTCTCAGCTCAGTTCACCAACCGTGGCCGTGCTCAGCTCAGTTCACCAACCGTGGCCGTGCTCAGCTCAATTCACCAACCGTGGCCGTGCTCAGCTCAGTTCACCAACCGTGGCCGTGCTCAGCTCAATTCACCAACCGTGGCCGTGCTCAGCTCAGTTCACCAACCGTGGCCGTGCTCAGCTCAATTCACCAACCGTGGCCATGCGCTCAATTCACCAACCGTGGCTATGCTCAGCTCAATTCACCAACCATGGCCGTGCTCAGCTCAATTCACCAACCGTGGCCGTGCTCAGTTCAATTCACCAACCATGGCCGTGCTCAGCTCAATTCACCAACCGTGGCCGTGCTCAGCTCAATTCACCAACCGTGGCCATACTCAGCTCAACTCACCAACCTGTTTGCCTCATCATAGGCTGGATTATAGAATGGTTAGTGCTATCTGGGATCCTTGGGACGTCCCTACCCTAACCCCTACCCTTACCTTAACCTTTACCATTTTAAATTTCAACTTCAATGGGGCAGGGACGTCCCAGTGTTTTAACAACATGAAATCGTTTTAAAATGAAAATTCTATATAGCAATATAGAGTGGGAAAGCGGCCGTGCATTTGGGCAATTAATAGACACTGCAGTGAATAAAACCTAATAAAAACCGGAGTAAACGCAGACCGGTGCTACAGTAGGCCTATATGCAAATAAGCCATTCGCCACACGGGCCTGCCATCATTCACTTTGAACTGGACTGTGTGTTTACAGGAAGTTGCAGCTGAGTGACTTTAGATCATTAAAACACATTCGCCAAAAGCCACAAAATACACCTGAATGGATTTCTGCAAATATGTAAATACCACAGGAGTCCTCTTACATTTGGAAACTTTACAGTCCTATTGATCAAACAACCATGAAAAGGTAGGCTCTCTCTCCCTCTGTTATGCACATTAACAACAACAAGATCAACAACTAATGCTAGCCAGAGCGAGATGAGCTAGAATCGAACGAGGGAACATTAGATAAACCCACTAAAACGTTTTCAGCCAGTTGACCATCCAAATTTCACTGAGAAATGATGGGGAATTGTAGCCTGCTCGTCCTTCTGCAGCTTGCCTGCCAATGCATGCTTGTCCCAACCCATGTTTTGACAACTGAATGGGAACTTGCCTGCCCATTTGATCAATGCCAAATACATTTGATTGACAACTAAGAGATACGCTAACTGTGGATAACAGTTGTTCAAGTTCAGCATAGCTAGCTAGCTAGCAAAGTGATTCACATTTCTTGCTAGCTAACCAAATGACATCTCTAGCTGTAGCCACCGAAAAAACGATACGAGGGGAGAAAGTCGGTCACTCACCCACTCTTCCAATGACATGACATCCTCCCAGCAGCTAGCTAGTTAGCTAGCTAACATTAGGCTTCATGTTTTTAGCTTGCTAAATAAATAGCTAGCTACATAAATAGATACGCTAGCCCAGGGTTGTCAAACTCAATCGGTGCATGGGCCATATTGAACAAAACAACGAATTCGCAGGCCAGACATAGCCTATTTGTTTTTACAAAAAAGCGTAACTGCGACCCAAACTGGCCATTGTTTTATTTGAAAAAATATGGCCCTTTATAATGACCACTTATGTACATACGATGCTGTATATAGCATTTTAACATATTAAAACAAAAGAAGAGATACATAATATTTGTCCAGCCTTTGCTGCTATGCTTGCAGATGTGCATAATATGCTGCGACCCTAATCAAAAAGTATTTAATAACTCAAAATAATGAAAATGTAGCTATAGGTTGTTGTAACATTTAAACTTAAAACATGTTGAACAATTTTTTTGCACTGCATGGTTCACCGGTGCGGTTGAATGCATCATTGCTGTATGGTGCACTCAAAATGTATTGTAGTTGAGTAGCCAGCCTAGGCTACTGCTCAAATGTTGCTGTAATAAGCCTACATGCTTCTCCTGTGCATGGGGTTTTGTTGCAGGTTTTGTTTTTTGGTTATTCATTGTCAAGCTTTAAAAACCGAAGCCAGATTGCAGCATTTTAGAAGCCTAGCTAGGACTGTGGCATGTGTCTGTACACTTTCCCTCCGCTGCTCGCTGTCAACCCGGACACACGAAAGCAGCGCAATTGAAGTTGAATTCACAGATGCAAGTACATCAGGCTGTAATTTCATAAAGTAGATGACAACTGTTGACTCATTTATACTTGCCTGTGTGTCTTACTCTGCCTGCAGGCCTATTAGCCACGTTATGACTGACTTGTGATCATTGCCCTTGCTAGTCTGATTGTATTGACATTCCCAGGATTAGTTACAGTCGTCCTTTTTTGTTCCGAATATTGAGTCATTGAAACTGAAACAGCCCATCCTGAATGGGTGGAGGCAGTAAACAATGTACCAGGCAAGCTGTGATTTACAACCTGATGGCAATATTTTTTCGACTACCGTTTCTGTATTGAAATGTGTTGGTGAATTATATTAATCATGCATTGAACTGCATCCATCTATTATGCCAACAATGTCTTACTGTACGTCATGGATTTTTTTGTCAAATAGAACCTATTTCTAAAACCTCTTATAAAGTTGGTTTTGAAGCATAAACTGGGAATTTGATATTTTTGACTGATGTTATGATTGTCTGTTAGTTTCATATCTGCAAAGTAGTTAAAGCAGTGTCAGTTCCACTTTAAAACATAGAATATCTTTGGAATCTTCTGAGCTGAAACTTGGGATAAGGGATATGTAGTCGATTTTCACTGTGAGGACATTAATGAGGACAGATTCTATTGGGTTGTGTGTGTGTGTGTGTGTGTGTGTGTGTGTGTGTGTGTGTGTCTGGCAACTCCTCTTGTGATGTTCAGCTCGGCTCTACTGAAGTTGATCAGATTAAACGTTGGAAGTCTTGTTTGTTTCAGGGTTGGGGTCAATTCCATTTCAATTCCAGTCAATTTAGGAAGTACACTGAAATTCCAATTTTTATTCTCTTCAATGCTTTTGTAATTGGATTTGGAATTTGGTTTACTTTCTGAATTGACTGGAATTGAAATGAAATTGACCACAACACTGATATCCATATTTAATGCATGCTGAATTCTAATGTCTTGTTTCAATCTGAGTCTATGACGAGAGGGGGGTTGTGTGTTAATGTCGTTAGTTATTGTGTTGATTTCAAATGAAACTGCTGCTCATCAATAGATTGATTTTTGAGAAAATCAAAACTGTGTTTGATTAAACCTGTCAAAGACTGATTGGAAATGTGACGATTAATTTAATGGAAATATACAATGTTTTCGTCCCCAGTGGTCGGGATATTATCTCTTTGAATTCTGGCCATTTCGTGTGGCAAATTCTTGTTGGTGTAGTTAAAACGTATAATCAGAATTATATTTATTTTGCTTAGAATGTATTGTACTCTCTAAGAAGGAGTTCTCTGTGATATTGCTGATGTTTTGGGAGGCATTACTTTTTGATAATCCAGTCATTTCAAATCAAACCCTTTGCTGAATGTTGTAATTGCATGCTCTGGACTAAATTGAAGCACGACGCAGTCCACTGCAATGAATAATTCATCTGGAAATTAAGCTATGGTAAAGAGGAAATACTAATCAAACATTTCATTTTTTTCTTCTTGTGTCCTACAGCTGACTCGTAGATACATTAATTTGTATACTCTCGTCAATTGCCTCAGACAATGCATGATGAACAATGTATAGATATAATGGTGTGTGACATTTTATTTTGGCTTTGTGTTTGTGCTCTGACACTGTTTAATACAGCACTCCTATAGTCATGGATAAATGTCATGTTACAGACCTGTGCTGTACTGTGCTGAGTTGCTGAATGTTGCTGAATGTCTTGCCACGGAGAAGTGAGAATATGACAACAGCGCAGTCGTCTGTCATGAAGTCAACCGCCAAACCTCTCAAGTCAGCAGTACCAGGTGAGTAATGGAGCCTAGAGAAAATGGGATTTCACAAACAATAAAGAACATAAATAAGAAAATCTTTCAAGTTTCAAACTCCTTCTACTTCTTCTAACAGAAAACCCAATACCCCTTCTACTTCTTCTAACAGAAAACCCAATACCCCTACTACTTCTTCTAACAGAAAACCCAATACCCCTACTACTTCTTCTAACAGAAAACCCAATACCCCTTCTACTTCTTCTAACAGAAAACCCAATACCCCTACTACTTCTTCTAACAGAAAACCCAATACCCCTACTACTTCTTCTGAGTAACAGAAAACCCAATACCCCTTCTACTTCTTCTAACAGAAAACCCAATACCCCTTCTACTTCTTCTAACAGAAAACCCAATACCCCTACTACTTCTTCTAACAGAAAACCCAATACCCCTACTACTTCTTCTGAGTAACAGAAAACCCAATACCCCTTCTACTTCTTCTAACAGAAAACCCAATACCCCTTCTACTTCTTCTGAGTAACAGAAAACCCAATACCCCTTCTACTTCTTCTAACAGAAAACCCAATACCCCTACTACTTCTTCTGAGTAACAGAAAACCCAATACCCCTTCTACTTCTTCTAACAGAAAACCCAATACCCCTTCTACTTCTTCTAACAGAAAACCCAATACCCCTACTACTTCTTCTTCTAACAGAAAACCCAATACCCCTTCTACTTCTTCTGAGTAACAGAAAACCCAATACCCCTTCTACTTCTTCTAACAGAAAACCCAATACCCCTTCTACTTCTTCTGAGTAACAGAAAACCCAATACCCCTTCTACTTCTTCTAACAGAAAACCCAATACCCCTACTACTTCTTCTGAGTAACAGAAAACCCAATACCCCTACTACTTCTTCTGAGTAACAAAGTTCAGGAAATGAGGAAAGTTCAAGCAATACCAATGATTGCATTTTGAAAACGTATTTGTCAATGTCAATGTACTGTAATTTAAACTAGGACCTGATGGAGGATAAAGGTTGCTTGCACGGTAACCATTATCTTGACAAGCCTTCATTGTTCTCAAATCAGGGAGCTTGATAGACAGTTGGTGCAATTAGTATGGTAACAGAGACGGTACTAGACCGACAATTCCCCAGCACACAGTAAACGGCTTACTTACTGAAATCATAATTGTATGACTTGTCAATCACATTTTCTAATTGAGCAAATGAAACATCTCTGATTAAGATAATTTCATTATGTTTCTATAATACAGTATTTTCCTTAGCCTATAGCCATTCTACAGCCTTTTAAATCCTGTATCTATGTCCAGTGTTATCTTGTCAGAAGTTATAGTGGCACGTGCGCTACAAGATGAACTGATGTTTTTTGATTCAATTCTTAAAACATTGATTTTGTCCTTTGAAATGGCCCTGTATTCTGTATTCCTGACTGTATCTCCCATTACAAGCCCTTGGCTAGACAGATTCCCAATATACAGTCCACTCTGTTATCATAATATGATCACTGGAAGTACACAGACACGGAGCGCAATGCATTCATCCAATGTTCTAAATGTGTCTTTCTCCATAGTTAGTAACAAACTGTAGAGAACTCTCTGTGCCCCAGTCTTATTATAGATACATAGAGAAAATGCATGCTGGGATGTGGTCAGTCAGAGAGAACATCAAGGCTATGTTAAAAAAAAAAAATGACTAGCTGCCAAAATCCTTTGCTCCCTTCGTCCTGTTTTCCAGAATTCCTCTCAAAGCTCATTGGAGGAGAAGGTTCGAGGGAGAGACCTTGGATTCTCTCCTCCAATGAGCTTTAAGAGGAATTGAGGAAACGAGGACTGAGGGACTAAGGATTTGACAGATTGTAAACGTTTTTAGACACAGGCCCATACTGTACGTTCAGATCACCGACAGGAAGCTGGGCTTTAGAAAGCATGTGTAACAGCCTGGAAATGGAGTCTGCTCAGCCTGCGGAACATTGGGAGCCTGGGGAACCTGACAAAGCGGCCCTAATCCTCCCTTCCAGTTTCTCCATTTATTCACTCACTCTCCCCCCTGGCACATCTTCTTAATATTCTCTGCCTATGGATGTGAGAATGTACTGTGGTTAACAAAATAGACGTCAGTAGAGCGAAAGAAAGAGAGAGAAAGAAAGAGGTCAGGATCATGCAGTACCTGTACAGACCGTGCTTACTTCTCTCCTCCAAAAGAAGAGATAATCTTTCTTTCACTTGATGGGAGGATGATCGCAAGCATAGATTGGTTGCTTCTCCTGCTCAGGGGATTGGATCTGACAGTGTGAATGAGCGTCATCATATCTGATACAGTAGGAGGTTCAACGGCACTCATTATTTTCAAAACAGAAGACCTTCGGAGGGAGAAATGGGTGGAAATTAGACGGGATACTGAAGCTGATTAATATAGAGAGATCAACGGCATAGCTGTGAGTTTCCCTTTAAGCGTCCTAGTTAATAGATAGCTTAGAATGGGGCACACACACACACACACAACCCCAACAGTATCACTGTATTCAACAGCTTTGAGAATAAAACCAAACATTTGATATGGTTGTATTGCACAGTAGGTTTGGTATGATCTTCGAGGTTGGGTCTGACTCACTCATGTGGTTCCTCTCAGCTTTGAAAACACCTGCTAAATAATTAATAGAGAGTACTGTCGGTGTGTCAACCAGATCTAGATTAAAATACTATTTCAAATAATTTCACATACTTCAGCTCAGCTTGATTGAGCTAGCCTGGCAAAATGGAACCAATAGAATAGGCACAAAACTACAAACTCTGCCCATCTGGCACGTCAGGCAGGCTAGAGCAAACACTAAAAGTACGATTTCAAATAGTATTTGAACCCAGGTCTGACGTCGACACCTGCACAGTTGTAGATTGGTGGTGTTTCACTGTGGGATGCCTAGAGATAAGGTAGAGTATATTTCATCAGGCTATAAAAAAAATCTCTCTCTCTCTCTCTCTCTCTCTCTCTATCTCTCCGCTCTCTCTCTCTCTCTCTCTCTCTCTCTCTCTCTCTCTCCCCTCTCTCTCTCTCGCTCTCTCTCTCTCTCTCTCCTTTTCCCCCTCCCCCTCTTTCCCCTTCCCCCTTTTCCCCACTTGTTTTTCCCTTTTTCCCCCCTTTTTCTCTCTTTTTCCTCTCCTTTTCCCCCCCCTTTCCTTTTTTTTCGTTCCCCCGTCAATTTCTTTCCCTTTTCCCCTCTTCACTTCCCCCTTTTTTTTCCTAAAATTTTCCCCCTTCCCCCTCCCCTCCCTCTCCGGGGGGGCCCCCTTTTTTCTTTTTCCCCACCCCCCCCTTCCCTTTTTTTTTTTTCCTTTCTTTTATTTCTCCAACTCCTCTTCCTCCCCTCTCTCCTTCCCCCTCTTCTTTCTCTCTCTTTTCCCTCCCCCTTTCTCTCCCCCCCTCTCTTCCCCCCCTCTCCCCCTCTCTCCCCTTACCTCTCTTCTCTCCCCCCTCTCTCTTCTCTCTCTCCTCCCTCTTCTCCCTCTCCTTCTCACCCTCTCCCTTCCTAGTTCGTTGACATGAGCTGGTTCAGTCAAGCTCGCACACGACCCAGAGGGAGGAGGCTGAACCAGAGAGTTTCAAAGGTCTATCAACCGAGAGAAGATTCATCTCCATTATGTCGCATTCACCCGAAACTAGGCATATGGTTAAAAACACTGTTAGGGCTGTCGACCGTAGCCAGGTTTGGAAAATGGAATTTACATGGCAATACCTCATACACGCACGCATGGTAATCCCACCAACCACAATGTATAGACTTCAATCTCACCACCACCCTGAATGTCAACCACACCGATGAATCTTCAACTACTACCAGTGCTTGCTATCCTCTCTCCATGTAAACAAAGGGCCTTCTAAGGACTCACACACACCACACACACACACACACACACACACACACCACACACTTACCTATTGAGTTTAGTTATTTACCTATTCTGTGTGTCGGTTTTGATATTTGTTTACCTTGACAACTATCAGCTCATGCCAGCTCACATGCAATCTTCCCAGGCTGCCTCTGCTGGAACCGCTGAATGCCCTCAGAGCCTGATAGAACAAACAAACAGTGAACAGCAGAAGCAAACAGTCTCCGGGGAGCGGAATAATCCTGTTAGGAACTCATTTCACCAACCCCCAACCTAAGACCCAAAACTCAACCTCTTTTCAAAAACAGGAAAACACTAAATACTGAAATAAATTCACCAACCCCAACCTAAGACTTCTCAACTCAACTTATTTTCAAAAGCAGGAAACACAAAAATATAGAAGAAAATATCCATTATGTTCTGCCTATATTACAGTTTTTTCCAACTGCTTACACACAAAATCTTTTCATGTCACACGATTTTTGAAACCTCTCACTCAAAGTGCAAAACTACACACCAAATCTCCAAAACCATAAGCTATTTCTCAGCCTTTGACTCAGTTGTCAATTGCATAAAACACTTTTTTCAAAACACTACACACAATTCTCTACCTAAAACACAAAAATCTAACAGGAAGTGACTTGCTTTCCTTTTCCAAACACAACCATTCAAAATGCTACACTTATTCACCAGGTCACACACACACTCTTCACATCTGCAAACACTAATTGCTTAACTGATCACTAACCAATCACTGCTTTACTGTAGTATAGGCCTATAAATAGGTCAAAGGTCAGATTACCTGTTTTGAACAATGGATGCCAACAATGGACAGAGAGCAAGAGGAGTAGGAGGGAGAGGCAGGGGACAACAACGAGGACAAATTCAAAGACGAAGTGTTGGAAGAGGAGGAGAAGGAGGAAGAGGAAAATGAAGAGGAAGAGGAAGAGGAAGAAGAGGACGAGGGCAAAGAAGAGAAGGAAGGAGATTTATTTATGTGGATGAGGTTGGCTTCAACCTCACCAAAACCAGGCGCCGCGGAAGAAATGTAAAAGGACAGAGGGCAATTACCAATGTCCCTGGACAGCGTGGGGGTAATATAACTATGTGTGCTGCCATCACTCAAAACGGGGTCCTCCATCACAATGCCACACTGGGTCCGTACAAGACCGGCCATAGGCTCACTTTTCTGGATGCAATTTACACAATGCTTGTCCCTGATCCAGATCAGGAGCCTGCTAGATTTGTGGTTATATGGGACAATGTTAGTTTTCACCGGGCTGTTTTGGTCCAAAACTGGTTTGCCACCCATCCACAATTTGTAGTTTTGTACCTACCCTCATATTCACCTTTTCTAAATCCCATAGAGGAATTCTTCTCAGCCTGGCGCTGGAAAGTGTATGATTGCCAACCCTATGCCCGCATGCCGCTTCTCCAGGCAATGGAGGACGCATGTGGGGACATAGAGGTTGCCTCTGTCCAAGGTTGGATACGCCATGCTAGGAGATACTTCCCTCGATGTTTGGCAAGAGAAAACGTATCTTGTGATGTGGACAAAGTA